CTCAAATTTGAAATTTTACTTTTGTCTTCCTGTCAAGTCACTACCTTAACACAATTTGGAGAAAAGTACCTGCTTAGAGAACCAATTGTGGGCCAAAATTAAAAACAAAAATAAAAAAACATTTAAAAATCAATCTATTAAAATATTATAAAAATTAGATCTAATGGAGGCCAGTCCTGTGGCCAACTGGTTAAGTTCGCGTGCTCCACTTGGGCAGCCCCAGGTTTCGCTGGTTCAGATCCTGGGTGCAGACCCAGCGCCACTGATCAGGCCATGTTGAGGTGGCGTCCCACACAGCACAACCAGGAGGACCTACAACTGGAATATACAACTATGTACTGAGGGGCTTTGGGGAGAAGAAGAAGAAGAAAAAAAAGAAAAGATTGGCAACAGATGTTAGCTAGGTGCCAATCTTTAAAAAAAAAATTAGACCTAGTGGAAAGTGGAAAGTAGGATTTTAGCTGTAGCATTACTTGACTTAGGAGAATTTATGTTTTCCTAATCTAATTGTTGGTTTTATTTTCATTAGTTTATTTCAAGAGGGGAAAGGTTTGAAGAAAACGGCAAAGAGAGCATTTAATCTCCTAACCGATGCTTAAGTGACAACTCTGAATTCTTGATGACTCTTTTTCAGATGGTACATAGGGAGAAAGGAAGGCTCTTACACAGTGGTTTGGTTTCATTGGCAAGGAAGACCAGAGTAGCTAAATTTTTTTCAAGAAGTTATGATAAAGGCATTAGAAAGGTCAGCCTCAGTATGAGGACAAGGAAAAACCTGGCTGTCTGGAGAAGCATTAAAAAATAACCAAAATGAAATGAGCTCTAGGGTTGAAAATGAAGGAGGACAGACTAGTCATAAAATCATGTAACAAATCCATAGGACCAAAGCAAGAAGGGAGGCAGCACTCAGCAAAGCCCTGAGGGGAGGCAGGAACTGCTCTTCAAGGAAGCAGGCAGAGAAAAGGTGGAGCGAACGCTCTCCCATCCCTGGATGGGTCTTATGGGCAGAAGACAGGAAAAGGCAGCCCTTTTAGAAACATATTGCTACTCAGTTAAACAAAAGGATTCTTTTTAAATCTACAGGTTCTGAAGGCTTCACCCCTTAAGGAATTTTTCAGATCATTGTGGAGGCGATGACTCTCTTTTCCACACGACGAAGTGAAAAACAATTACAAAAGGATTGACACTGTGTTTGACAACACTGAAAAGAATGAGAGGAGAAAGTCTCCTGAGAGGTCAGTCTCCTCATCCCCAGGAAGGACCACATCCAAATAGCTCTCATCCACGCCGCCCTCCTTGTCAGAGGTGCAAGAAGCACAGGAAGAGTTGGTGTCAGGAAGGGCCCCTGAAGTCCCTCCCTGAGCCCCCTCTGTGGCTGTGCAGTAAGCAAGCATCTGTCCTCTCTTCCTTTCTTTGTTAGAACCCCGCTCTTCACTTTCATTTGTGAAATGAAATGCCTGTTTCTTCCGCTTCTCCCTTGAGGCATGAAGACCAGACCTAGGCTGGATGGCGCTGATCCCCTCATGATTTATATCTGCTGAACGCTCTTTGTTTCGGCATCCAAACGTCAGCTTCTTTGTTTAAACTGTGGGCTCCTTGCTGATTATTATCTTTAACTCATGAGAGTCTCTGACTCTCAAGATCTTTTTCTGTTCTATTCCAAAATAACAATAACCACTTTTACAACTTTTCTTACATTTATGCAAGGAGCTTGTCCCTAATTTTTTAAATGTTATAAATAGCAAAGTAATTCAGAGTAAGTGATACTACATTCTACTGCATTAGAATTTTTTGTGTCTTATTGTCCTTATTAACTAGAGCTTAACGGGCGGGGACTCTCTGTTGCTCATCACTGTGTCTTTTGTAGTGTTCAGTCAAGAGCCTTGCACAAACCTTGGTCCGTAGCACACAGTGTGGGATTTCTGGATGCTGGGTGTCTAAGGTACCACAGTCTAACCACTGCGTACACTTTCTGTCTTCCCAACCGGAGAGTTTCCCGTGGCTTTGTGTACTCAATAACTGGTACTTAGAACGCATGCAAAAAATGTTTTTGAATGAGACATTGGTTGAATAAACTTCTGTCAGAGGGACGAATGGATGGAACGTCAACTTGTAATATTCACCAAAACCAGAAAAGATTTGAACGTACACAGGTTTATTCTTCCTGTCTTCCTTCCAGAGAGTCTTTAATCTGGTTAAATGGTTATCCATTTAATTACCTTTTCATTAATCAATTTAATTAACTAATCCTTTAACTAAGTTAACTGTTAAAAGTTATGACCATTTTCAGAAAACGTTCGCTTACAAACCATAAAGGAGGGCAGGGAAGCAGTGATGCTGAGGCTGGCTGTGAATCCCAGGGCTCCAGAGACACCGAGCTCGCAGCCCGCGTGCCCTGTGTGCCAGCACTCGTGAGGGTCACACACTGCGAGTCTGGGAGCACCAAAATACCCGCAGAAATATGTTGCTTCTGTGTTGTTTGTCTCTGAATAACGGCAACAGAATGCTTTGGGAAGAGGTCGTGAGCCGCTCAGAGGAGGAAACGGATCTAAACTGCTTGAGGAGGTGGAGAAGAAAAGCAAGCGAGAGCTGAGAGGTGTTGGAAGGAGGGAGAGCATCTGCCAGAAACGAGAACGAGGGCCCCACTGCCGCCCAGCCCCGCCGGGGCGCTTTACTGAGCCTCTTTCTTCATTAGGAGAAGTTAAGGGTTGAACTGCTTGATTTTTGAAGTTCCTTCCAGCTCTAAATGATCTTGGTTCAATACGAAGCCAAAATAAACAAAAATGATATCCCCTTTGCATATGTTCTTCTAAATACCCCAGCGGGACAGCAAGAAGCCTGCGTTCCAGCTCACTGCTTTAAAGGCACCAATTCACAAGCCACCCTGAATCTCAGAGACGCTGTGTGGATACCTCAGGGAAGGGAACCTTAGTGGTGTGCGGCCAGGGTGCGCATGTGAGAGAGAGAGAGCAGGAAAGAGTCCCCAGCATTTGGACTCTTACCTCTAAGAGAGCACCACTCTTAACACCATTCCACTGGTGATCAAGTTGACTCTGTAATCTGCAAACCTCTGCAATATTTTAGATATGAACATTTCCAAAACTTTGCCTCTCCTAATTTCTTTTAGAAAGGAAGGAAGAATTATCTGTGCCCATGTAACACTCCATTCCACCGATTCTTCACCTCTTTTTTCTTAATCCTACAGTGTCAGAGATACACATGCACTTTCTTGTAGTCATCTTTGCTTTTAGACTATCTTAAAATACGAGTAAAGGAACAGTGTGATCAACAGATGCACAGAGAGAAGACGTGGTTAACACTGAAGCTGCTTTCATGGGGGAGCACCTACAAGTCCAAACTGAGCGTCCTCACCGCCCTTTGCCAGAGGGGAGAGCAGCAGGGAGACAGATGTCCCTGTCACTGCTCTGTTTGGAGACCGTTGCCGCTCTGATACGCGCCATCCGAGAAGGCCGGCATCGAGCGGGGCAGCTGGCACCACCTATTCTTCTAACGTCCTCCAGGGCCAAGGGAAAGAAACTGTAGCTTGCACTTTCTTTCTTAATTTAGAGGCCATGGCTTTTAGAATAAAGATATTGAGGAATCATTTGTTTCTAATGTCATGAGACAGACCTTCCTTTCCTCTCTTTCCGACGAGCATCTTACTCGTTGCTCTTGGTGGGTAGAAACTTTGCAAAAAGCCAAAAACTAGGCAGGGAAAATGGACAACATCAGGGTCAAGTGTATATCTCTCCCTTCTGTTAGTCTATTTCGAAACATGCGTGTCATTTCTTTATATCGCAGACGCCCAACCATTTACGCTGAGGTTTTGCTGCACATTAGCACCTTCGGACATGGGTAATGACTTTCAGGTTTTCTTACTCAGTAAGAATGTGAGCATCTTTTTCCAGGTTTGCTCAAGCCCGCCCTTGAGTGCTAGACCTGAGCAACCGACGGTCCGGGAAACGCTGCATTCTTGTGCGCATTTGGCAGGATTTCCTGCAAAGGGTCAAGAAAACATATTTTCCCATTGTCTTTGTTTAAACTGTAGAAAGCCCTTGTGTCCGACTGGAGACCCTGTTAGTCACAGCAACTAAGAAAGTTGGGCAGGTCACCCTTTGGCACTGATGGTCACCTTCACAACAAAAGCAGCTGAGAAGACAAGGTGTTTCTGAACCTGTCCTGTGATTCCTTGTGCTCTGCACCCCTTGAATTCACCTGGTTGGTAAAATGGGAAAACTGTAGCTGGAACCAAATGAAAGCAAAAACATATGCAGCACTATGCTAGAGGTACACTTCAGTTTATCAGTGCTCTTGCTTAATAGCGTTTTTTATGCTGTATCTCCATATAAATAATAGGAAACAGTATTGGTGAGTAGGAAAAGGGAAGGAGAGGGTCCGAAATAACTCTGTGAATCTTGAAGTGATAGTCGCAAAGTCTTGCCTATCAGAGATAAAGTTCTAAAGCGGTAGGTGCTGATGTTATGATGGGAATCCAGAAAATGGATTAATGATCTAGAATGTGGGATGTTAGTCCCTGATTTGGTACAGTGTCTGACACTGAGTTGGCAACAATAAAAATAACAATAGAAGCAGTGAGCAGAAAGTCTGAGATACGACTTGCAAGCTCAACATATCTGAAGCTCTGCCCACTGCAACCTGGAGCTTGCTTCTTGTACTGCAGGCATCTGACAGCTGGATTTCCCTTATTATTCAGCCACTGTCTTCCCACTCCCTCGATGCCCTTTAAGCAGCTTGCACTTCTGTGACTGTACAGAATTTGTTTGTGGCTGTTTGGAAATGGACATCCACAGTGAATACACGGGGGCCGTTTGCTAGGTCACTGTTTCCCAGAACGGCTCCATTAGGAAGCTACATTTCAAGGGCTTCTTTCCTTATCTCGCAGAACAACTCATTTGCTGTGGCCCTGAGTGCATAGGAAAGGTCAATGCCTACCAGAAATCTGAGGACTGAGAAGGCTTATTACGAAGATGAAAGTGAAAGTAACTTACATAGAAAAATATTCTCTGTAGGGTTGCATGTTGGTTTTCGACAAAGGACCTGCCTGGCTTTTAGCAAGAGTTAATGCTGATAACCTGTCAAAAAAATAAACAAAAAAAGGAAAGGAAGGAAAACAGAGAAAGAGAAAGAAGAGAATAGACCATAGGTATAAAGATCTTTCAACAGCATTACAGCGGCTGGGAGTTTCCTAGGTTGGGGAGGAAGATACACCACCTGCCACACCATCACTAATGGGACTGTGACACTCTTCTCCTGTCAATCAATAAAGTCACCAGAAGGAACCTCCAAGGGTAAGTATAATCTTTCAGATAAACCCAAAAGGTCAGCAATAAGTTAACTCCAGTCTGGAGAACTCTGCATTAATACTATTAGGGTGGAAAAAAAACCCAAAAAAACTTATTTTTTATTCTCCTGCACATTTTCAGAAATGCTGCTTAAGTTAGGCAGTAATAAATTGACTCAGTATAATCTTACACACACGCACGCTCAGAGTGGTGTCCTGGAATGATGGCTAGAATAAAAACCCCATTCCCAGACAAGTTCATGGTAAGGTCTTAGGTCTGTATCTCCACGAGCTTGGCTGAGGAGCCCCCGGTCTAATGCATTCCCTCCAAGGCACTGTTTTAGATTCTGGGTTTTTTTCTACGAGGAAGTTACATAAAGAAACTTGCATTCTCATCATTAAAAAAGCACACAAAATTTATAAAATACAGCAATCCAGGCCGTATGTTATAGATGTCTAAAGATAAAAGCTGTATGATTCCGTTAAATAAAGTACAAAACAGTCAAAACTAATCTATGCTATTACATGTCAGGAGAGTAATTCCCCTTGTTTGAGGCAGGGGTTGGTGACTCTGAGGGACTTCTGGAGTGCTGGGAGCACTCTGGTGTTTTTTATCTGGGTGCTGGTTATATGAATATATTTAGCTGTAATAATGTAAACTTAGGCATACGTTTTTGCATATATATTAAACTTCAATTAAATTTTATTTAATTACCCAAAGGTAATATAGACCTTAGTACTGGAGTTCACAGGGATCACACGCCAGGGTCTGGGCTACATTATGGAGAGAGCGAGCTCGAAGCTGGGATTAAATTTACGGGGAGGATTTGAATCAGTGGGGCAACTCAGTCTTGGAAACCAGAGCAAGTCCCAGCACACAGCAGGCTCTCAATAAATAGTTGTAGAATAAGGGACTGAATGATATAGGCACATTTTCCAAGCACAAGATTCAACAACATAGTTTTATGGATCAGACAACCAGGTGGAGCTGCCAACGTGTCATGCTTTAAACCTACCTCTCAGTAACTGCGTTAGAGTAAGTCAACTCAGTGCTGGGGTGCAATTTTTATAGTTCAGGACCTGCCATGGTGTGCTAGTATTCATGTAAGTATGTCCAAACACATACAGATACACATTATCTCCCATTCTGAGCCAATTTTTGTTTGGTGGGTTCATGCAAGACGTGAACTAGGCAGACTCTTGACAGACTTTCCAAACTGACATACAATTACATCCCAGGGCGTGAGCTCTCAAGAAAGGGAACTCGTCTTCTCCATCTTTAATTACCAAGACTTGGCACAGAGGCTGGCCCACAATAGATGCTCAGAGAATTCCTGCTGAGTGAATGAGTGAACCCGAGTCCGTCATCCAGGCTGATTTCATCATGAGGCCTTGCTCCACCTCCTCTGTGGTCTCGATAAATACATGCAAATTCTAATATAGGTTTTTCATTGCTTGAGGGTGGAGAGTGAAGGACAGAGAGACATAATAGCTGATTGCTTGAGTCTGAGCTTCAGAAGTCATCACAAGTCTAGGTCTGGTCCTCAGTTTTGTAGGTCAAGAAAGTTGATTCTTTCACATTAGTTCACCCAAGAGTGACAGCCTCTAGAAAACAGCTCATAATAATCAAACACACGCTCACTCAAAACTTGGTTTTTAAGCAAGAAATATATGGAGACATATTTACACTTAAGACGAGAGCACTTACATCGTGTCATAAGTGCCTTTTATTTCTAGTCCAAAAGTTTTCTTGAGACGTTAAATTAGCATGAGAAGGTGATTTGGTGAAAGTCGTCAGAGCAAAGGGAGCTGGCTGATTTCGTTGGACACGTATTTAAATTTTATTGAGCACCTATTGTAGGTCAAGGGCTGTGATAGGGATTAGGTACTTTCACGTTATTTCACTCAACCTTATTTAATCCTCACAGTAATCTTGTAAAATTAATGTTCTCCTGTTATTCATGAGTTAATCAATGCTCAGAGAGGTTAAATGATATTCCTGGCATCATGATTGAGCATAAATAGACAAGTAACAAGTGCTTACAGAATGAATGAGTAAATTAACGAGTGGAAACCTGTTTTCCAGTAAGTAAGCAGCAGAGATGGAATTCTAACCCAAGTCCTCTGATTCCAAGTTCATCACACTTGAGGTTATGATAGCCTAATGTGCTCACAGACAATGTAAAAGTTTGCCTGCCAGTTAGACTGGAATATCTCTATCAAAGGACTCTCTTCTCCAGCTAGTGGTAGAGCTATGGGGAGAAGTTATTTTTCGCATGCATGCGTTCATTCATTTCTTCAACAAATTTTGATGAAAACACACTATGGGACCAGCACCGTTAGTTAATTGCTCTGAGATTTAAACAGATGCTATGTAAAGGATAGTAATTTTTACCTTACACAATTTTCATAGGAAATAACTGTTGTCAGGACACAGAGATTAAAGACATTTCCTGCCCACAAGGAGCTCAGTCTAGTGGAGAAAAGACAAGAAACCGAATGAATAAAACAAAGTTTCCTGGAGGATTTGTCTCAGTCTGTTTGGGCTGCTCTCACAAAGGTCCATCGACTGCTGGCTTATAAACAGCAGACATTTATTTTGCACTGTTCTGGAGGCTGGAAGTCCAAGATCAGGCTGCCAGCAGGGTCCGCTGAGCCCTCTTCTGGGTTGCAGCCTGCAGTCTTCTTGGTCGTATCCTTACGCGGCAGAGAGCAGAGAGGGGAAGCAAGCTCTCTCACGACACTTATAAGGGCATTAATCCCTTTCATGAGGGCTCCACTCTCATGACCACCTCTCATCCTCATTACTTCCCGAAGACTCCGCCTCCTCACACCATCACATGGAGGGACAGGGTTTCAGCAGAAGGATTTGGGAGAGACACAAACATTCAGCCCATAACAGAATTCAGGGATGAGCCTTGGGGAAATGTTTTTGTTTTGTTTCATCTTTCTGTTATTTTGATAATTGCTTTCATTTAAAAACATAGTGTTTAATATCAACCATCTTATTATGGTATCATTTTGCTTCTAACAAGTGCAAGGTGGCGAGGGATGCTATTGAACATGGTCAGGGAAGGCAAAAATCATCATCATCACCATGATATGGCACTGAGATTAGTTTCCTATAAATAAAAACGAAAGGAAATATACCCTAGCATCTCTACTTTTTTACATTGGCCCTTAACTTAAGAGCAAGTTAAGTTGTGGAAATGTCATGGAAAAGAAACAGTTGGTAAGTCTTCTGTGTATTTGTTTCTACTTTTACTATTGAACATCATGAGATACAAAAGCCACAGTGTTCTTCTGTGGCCCAGATCCTCCCAGTGCAAACACAGATCCAATTAAACTGTCTGTCCTCTCCACACATCAGGCAAGGTGGACATTCTTGGTTGGAACCGTACCAAAATGTGGCTGTGCTTTGATACAAAAACTTTGTTTTCATGTATCTCTCAAAGCTGCTTATAATATACCTAAGGAAAAGAATCCACACACAATTGTGAAACCACGTGTCCTGAAAAATAGTCCTAAGACTTCTAGTTTGGATCAGAGAAAGAATATTGAAAGAGTATGTCTGTCAAATATAAAGTCATCTATTCCGGAATCATCAGCATTTCTTTTAATCATTTCTTTTAACCATTTGATGAAGGTCACGGAAGAACCAGCTAATAAGCCATTTCCCTCGAAGACAGTTACTGACACCTTTCGGTGCATCTCAGTCTTGGGTTTTGTCCATTAGGTGCACACTGATACTATCAGGGAATTCCTATTTTGTGAATGCCTTTTGGAAACCTCAAAGGCCATTGACATGTTCAAAATTGTTAAAAATTTCTTTGCCAAACCAGGGTCTAACTTGGACACAAAATCTTTGATTTGAACTGATGAAGCATGTGCTAAGCTTGGCACCAAGCCACCTGGTTTTGCTTCTTTGATAAATAAAGAAGAACAAGATACTATTGTGTCTCATTGTTTTCCGACATTGGCATGTGCTCACATCTAAGACTGGGCCGACAATTTTCAAGTCGTATCCACTGTTCGTAACATTTGTCAGTTTCTTCAGTGTCAACGTCTTGAATTATCCATTAACTATGTATAATGAAGAAGACAGACTACAGTAGACTTTGTCAAGGAAGTGGAAGAGAATATGATATTCTTTCTTAATCCACATATTTAGTGACTTCCCAAACATCGAGTCTCGAAGTACTTGGTTGAACCCCAGCAAGGGTTGTTTTGTTGTTTGCTTGCTTGCGTTGAGAAGAAAGAAAGGCTCTCTCTCAGAACACAGAGGTTATTCGTGGGCTCAACCTGTTTGGCAGATCACGTTTTCCATGATAATGATAACAATCTTTCCATTCAGGGCCCTGCAGTAGTCACTATGAGTGCTGTCACTCTGGAAGAAGAGAATAAGGGTAGACAATTGCGTAAACTTTCCAGTTCTGGAGAAAGAGCATCTGTAGGTTGACAACAAAGGGCCAAACCTTATCAATGTCTTTGAAAGAAAATAATCTGTTGTGTGGTAGTCAGCCTCCAAAATGGCCTTCCATGAGTCTTACCACCTAGTATTCATGCCCCGGTGTAGCCACCTCTAACAGTAAGTAGGGGTGATCAGTGTAACCAATACACTATTACAGAAACGATGGTGTGTAATGTCTGTGCCTAGGTCATAAAGACATTCGATTTCCATACTCAATTATGTTGATTCTTATTAGCTTCCATTTCTAAGTGTACTATTTTGTAAAATTATGCTCTCTTCTAGGAGGTGCATCTTATCTGAGGCCCACAGCTCCCAAGGCACTGGGCACCTGGAATCCACTAGAAGGAAATCAGAGTAACCAGTAAAGGCATAAAACAAGAGGTAGCTTCGGCGACTGGCTACTCTTGGGGATGCTGTCTAGTGACACAGCGTCATGGGAATTTCCTCCGTCTGCTTTGAGCTTGCCCAATTCTGCCTGCCCCAAGTTTGGGAGAAAACCTGTTCAAAAAGAATCAGTGAGATTAAGACTTGGGGTTAGGACTTCACAAGTTTACTTTTTGTGTAAAACACGAACAAATTTTGTCTAGATATGAGGAAAAGAACTTTTAATCTTTCTCCCAGACTGAAAGGTATTTCAGTATATTCAAGCTTTGCTTTTGCTTTCCTTTATTAATTAGTGGGGACATCTGCATTAACACAGGATCATTAATTTATGATCTAGTGGGTCTTTTCTATCTCTAACTTCCCTGATGAAAGAGAATGAAACAAAAATGAACCGTTTGATCAAGACCTCTCCCACAGATTTAAAAGATGGTCTTTGAATAACATTAAAGATATTGATTTTGCTGTTGTGTATTTAGTTTGTTGTGAGAAAAACGTATTAACCAAAAACGGAGGCATTAAAATTCTGATTTTTATTACTACTTGCCAAATCACTAACATGAAGGCATATTGCCATTCTCTCTAACTTCTAAATAAAACCAAATGTCAGTAATGCCAACCCAAGGTGTACCATTTCCGGAAACTAAAATCACAGTTTCCTCTGAGGGACTGCCATAAAACGTAATTGAGAGAGTAAACAGTTTTGTTACACTTACTCATTTAGGGCACATCTTCATCCTTCTGTATCCATTTTCTTCTCTGTCTAGGTTTGAGTCTTGGCAAGTTTTCCTGATACAACGTTCTGGACAGTCAGAGTCATGAATTTCAAATAGAATCCTCAGAAACAAAAAGGAACGTGTATCACAAGTGTGCTGGTTTCCTGTTGCTGCTGTAACAAGTTACCACAAACTCAGTGCTTTAAAACAGCGTAAGCGTAGGGTCTTACCTTCTGGAGGACTGAAGTCTGACCCAGGTCTCACTGGGCCAGCATCATGGTATCCACGGGGTTCGGTTCCTTTCTGGAGGCTTTAATGAACCATCCATTTCCTTGCCTTTTCCAGTTTCTAGAGACCCCCTGCATTCTTTGACTAGAGACCCCCTTTCTCCATTTTCAAAGCCAGCAATGGCAAGTGGAGTCCTCCTCATATCGCTCTGCTCTGACGATGCACATCTCCCTCTGACTGCTTCTGCCTTCTTCCACGCTTAAGGACTCTTGTGGTTACATCGGGCTGCCTGGACAATCCAGGATGATCTCCCTGTCTCAAAACCCTTAACTTAATCACATCTGCAAAATCTCTTTTGCCATGTAAGGTAACATATTCACAATTGCGGGGACGAGGACATGGACATCTTTGGGGGGTCATTATCCTACCCACCACAACAATTTTTAGTGTCTAAAAATAACATTCTGGGGCCGGCCCGGTAGTGCAGTGGTTAAGTTGGTACACTCAACTTCAGCAGCCCGAGGTTTGCCAGTTCGGATCCCGGACTCAGACCTACACGTCACTCATCAAGCCATGCTGTGGTGGCATCCCACGTGGAAGAACTAGAGGGACTTGCAACTAGGATATACAGCCAAGTACTGGAGCTTTGGGGAGGGAAAACAAAAGGAAGATTGGCAATGGATGTTAGCTCAGGGCCAATCTTCCACACCACTAAATAAATAAATAAATAAATAAAAATAACATTCTAACATTCATTTAGGATTTAGTGCATTCTTCCTCCTGAAAAATTGTATTTTAGAAGTTATAAGAAGCAAATGAATCCCCCAGGTGTGCACATACTAAGCTGTCATGTATACAGACGTGGCACCAATAGCAAGAGGATCTGCCTTGTTTGCAGTGAACTTCCCTCTGATCCGGGCATAAAAAAAGAGCAGGAAATGCACAGCCCATGAAGCCGCACTATCTGGAGAGGGACTGTGCATTTCACAGTGGTGTTATTGTTGCTGTTTTTAAGATTCCATCGCAGTATCAAGCATTAGTCCTGTAAGTGTTACTGTTAGATTTAGAAATTTTTATTTTTAAGAATAGTTGATCCATAGGGAAAAAATATGTGTCTTAAATTTGTTGCTCATGAAAGAAATAGGGAGGGCAGCCAAGATTTCCTTCCATTTGGCATTATTCTAACCTCTCTCCAAGAGGCAGGCACATCCTGGATCCATATTTTGTATTATGCTAACCATTCTCTTCTCAATACTCATTATTTACGGACTAGCATGCAATACATTTCTTAACCATGCCCTTTTTCTACTAACACTTATAACATGTTTTCATATGCAAATTCACGTGTTCTTATTCGCCTGATATATAATTGGTATTTTATAAAATTGGAATGGTTGCATAACTCTGATAGTATGGTATGTGCTCAGTAATTTAACATATATATGAAATTCATTTAATTTTGATCAGATTAGGAAAAATAAATGAAAATAAAATAGCTACAATTACAAAGGACACATGTTTAACCAGCCAAAAGCTTCTGTCAAATATACGTACCATATGTGATTTTAATATCCTTGAAAATGCTACCCAGAATTCCAAACACGCAACAAGATGAGACAGTGTTCATGTGGGCTTCTCAGAAATCAGGGCAAAAGTGAGTAAAGGAAGATTTATTTCCCTGCTGGACAAATGGTACAGATTTCCTTTTGATGGTCAACTGTTTCCACCAAGTTCGAAGGAGCCCTGGCATTGCAAACTCCACCTTGATCATTAACATACTTAAAGTCACAGTGAGGATAAATGCAAGACATGTGCAGCCCACATTTTTATTCCTATAAAAGTATCTTGGACAAGTGAGAAGGAAAGATGGAGGGTTTTTTCAAATCCTACAGGTGGTTTCAGTTACTCAATATGTTTGTCTAATTGCTCAGATGTTCCCTACTCAATATTGAGAGCAGATATTCTTTTGCAAAGTTTCTTAGCTTCTGAATGTTGCCGGCACCTTCTTTAGCATAAATCCCTCTTCTGCATGCAAAAGCTGAAATATGCCGTGTTCTTGTCTTACCCTTTGCCATCCAGTCTCAAGAAACTGGATCTGACAAGCATGGCATTTTTTAAAAAATGGGCAGGGGACTGGCACCAGCTGTTGCTAATCAAACAACCTCAGCCCCGTATTGGTGGCTTCCTGCCCCACCTCCACATCCTTGCGGTGTCGGCAGTAATCGGGCGCAGTTACAGGGGCAGTTCTCTCTCAGGGGAGACAACAAGAATATTAATATTAATGCAATAGCTGCTCCTTCAGATGGGAATGGATAAGATGAAATGATTTAAAGGAGGCTTGATCAATCATTCCGTTTCTTGGCAAGAAAATGATGCCTTTGCATTTAAGAAAGAACATCTGGGTAGCATCACAGTGGTTAAAAGTGCTGGGTGGTTGGCAAGCAAACATTCACCTCCTTGCTAGAGCTAGATGCTTCCTGCTCTGGGACTTCTGCCCCCGCTGGGGGTGAAAGCAAAACTCTGAAATGCTTTACTTGAAACTATGTGCTTACAGTTCAGGACTCGTTTGGTGACCTTGCTGCTGACTACTGATTTATTAGCAGGGTCTAAGAAGGCATCTGGGGTAGCTGGTCAACTTGTCTGATTCTGAAGAAAGGGTGGCCACCCTGGGAGCCTTCTGACTCTGTGACCCTACCTCTGGCCACGAAGCTCTTTCTGCTCCCATGGTGGCTTAAGAAGTGTCTGCAGCCAAGAGCTCTTTGGAGCAACGTGGACAGTTAGCCAAACCTTTCAGAGTGGGGGAGAGTCAAGAGGTTGCTGCTTGTTTGTGACCAGGGCACCAGCAATGCTACAGCACAAAAGGACCTCGCTCATGGCAGATAGACATGGGTTTCTTAAGATGTTAAATATTTCAAGGTTTTGCTACCGAAAGCACAAGGGGAGCCTTGTGTGGGAGACAAAGCTGTGTGGCCTCAGGGAGCGGGCGGGAACACTCTGCTCCTTTTACTGCTCTCTCTCTGAACGGTGATGACCCAGCGTGGAGACATCTGTGACCTACATCCCCCTTGCCAGATGCCAGACAGCCATTAGTTAACCAGAGAACGGGCCTTTCGAGTGACATTCCTGCCACCCATCCACTCTCCCAGCTTTGGGAGTCAGAGCTGGAGGTACCCAGCAAGGCAGGGCTCATCAGGGCAAAATCAGCCCATGAGACATGTTTGGAGGATTATAGGAAGGCAAAGGCACCCAACTGCAAGTCAGGACAAAGACAAGGCAGGTGCCCAAAGAGAGCCTTCCCACCTAAAATGTGTTTTAAAGGTCATGGTCACAGCCTGTCTCCACGCTGGGTCTCCACAGCCTCCTCCACTCACAGCGAACCCACTTCCGCAGTCTTCCTGTTTCTTGCTAACACCTTAGTTATACAAGCCCTGGAAACACCCTTTGCTCCCTGTAGTACGTTGAGGCTCATCCCAGAGCTGCTGCATCAGAATCGCTGGCAGAACCACCTGGGAGTCACTGTGTCAACTATTATCGTCTCAGCTCTGTCTCCTTTTCTCTTATTCCTTACCATTTTAGTACGTTATTCTTTGATGCTGTACTCCTGCAAAGTGTTTAAAACATCACCGCCATCATCAAGGAGCACTTTTATGTGTGTATTTGCACAAGATGCGACATTCCTTGTTGATCAAAGAGAATTCTCTTGTTTTGCCCATTAGATGTAAGCTCTGTAATGTCACTGAGTTCCCAGTGCCTAGAAGTGTACCCGGCATTTAGGTGCTTTATAAATATTTGTTGACTAAAAGAATTAATGAATGAATATAAGTCTATCCTCCACCCTCACAGAGCACAGAACCTAAGAAAGTGCCGTACATGTGACCAGAAGCAGAAGGCCGACACATCACCAGGCAGCGAAATACTGGCCAAGTTCCCTTTCACAAGGTGATGATTGATTCGATTCACTATGGATGTTCCATTTTTGGAGCACAAGCAGGTGAGATGCTTCAAAGCCCTTCATGGAAACATGTATCCATGCACGTGGTTTCTAAAGAAACACTGTTCTACTCTTCAGTACATTATGTTATTGCTATGGAAACAGCAATATTTTAAAGAAGAACACTGGAACTTTCCAAATACAGTATTTATTCCTTTTGTACTAGCAAAATAATGTGTTTTGCCTAAGAACTTGTTAGGTGGCCTGCAGCTAAATATAAAGAGACAGATTCTCATCATGTGGAAGTCTATGGGAAAATTTGGACCATCGACTTTTCAAGATACGTTTTAAATAAACTGAGTGCAAAACTCTAGACATAATTGGGGCTTTCAATGAAACACTTAATATGTTAGATTTGTTTTTTACTTAGAAAAACTATTTATATTTGAACCCAAGAAATGCCTTCTGCAGGATTTCAAGCTGGCATTGCCTTTGGGTTTTCAGAGGAACAACTTCACTTGTCACTTGTGTTTATTACTTCATTAATACCTCTGGAATGTTCAGCTTGCTAATGTGGCCCTAGCTTTCCTGAACTGACA